AAATTTTAAAAAGAAACGTGCAAAAACTAAACAATATCTTTGTAAGAGATAGAGAGGTAAAACTAAAGAAAAGCAAATGAACGATAAAAATTCAGGAGCGTAGTGTCTCTGGGGCAGGAATGGGACTGGGGCCAGGCACACAAGGGCTTCAAAGGTACTGTAATGTTGGGTCACTGCCTGTTCTCTTCATTCTTTAAACTACACAAATGTTAGTTTCACATTTCTTTTTAATTAAAAAAAAACCAACTCCTCTGAACTCTCCAAATACAAGGGAAAAGAAAAAAGCCAACAGGATAGAGCTAATATTCTTACAAAAAAGCACCAACAGATTATCAGTCTCACTGCTTATCAAAGAAATGCTAGTTAATGCATCAATGCCAAATCATCAACCTGACAAAGTTATAAAAATTAGTGAGTTTTGGGGAGAAGTGGCACACTGCCTTATCACAGTAACAAAAACTAATAAACACTAACACTTTTTGAGTAGGTACTACGTATTAGGCATTGTTCTAAGTGCTTTACATATATTAACTCATTCAATCCTCCTAACAGTATTACTCTTAATCCCATTCGAGGATCAAAAGCACACAGAGATTACTAATCAACCGAAGTCACAAAGCAAATAAATTAGCAGATCCAGAAAATGTAAATTAATACAGTACTTTTAAGGGCAATTTTGCAATATTCCTCAACAACCTTAAAATGTACTACTTTTGAGCTGGAATTTCAATGCTCAGAATCTATCCCAAAGAAGCAGATCTGGACACCACTTTATGTCCAACAACAGAAGATTGGACTATTATGCAGATACACCATTTTGGATTGAACATATGCATTTATCTCCACTCCCTCCCAAAACACCATTAAAATCAAGGTTAAAGAATGGAAAAGATATAAAGCTACAAGGAAAAGAAAAGTAGAGAAGAATCAAGGGAGACAACAGAGATCAAAAAATTGTGGGACATGAAAAGCAGAGAAAAAAGTGGTCTATGCCAGTGATAACCAAGCCAACTGGTACCCTAGAACCCCAGAAAAGCTTAGGAATTAAAGCAAGCAAGTACAATGGTTATGAGAACAATTTGTCATATACACAAAAAACAAGCAACAAAAAACTCTAGTTAATTACTGACTTCAGAGAAAACAAAAGGTTGTACACAAAAGAAAATGTAATTATGTAATCATGTTACTTGCCTCAGCAGCTAATACTATTTATACATGATAATGTAGGCACAACCAAAAAGTGTGCTAAATCTTCACTTTTCTGTAAGTCAATAGATTCTAAAAATAATAAATCAAGAAACAACAACTTTATATGTTATTTAGAAACACAAAGAAAATAGAAGAAATTGATTAAGAGTTGAAAATAACTCTAGGAAGAGGTATGGCAAGGACTTGCTTTTTTAAAGCAAGTCTTACAATAGTCCTTGACTTTTTATACTATTAGGTAATATCAGAAAATAATTTTCAAAAGAAAAATAAAAATTTCTTGCAAAAAATTATAGAATATTCAGAAAGACACAAATAAAACCTAAATCTCTGGGGCCTGCCCCGTGGCTGAGTGGCTGAGTTTGCACACTCCCCTTCAGTGGCCCAGGGTTTCACCGGTTTGGATCCTGGGCGCGGACATGGCACTGCTCACCAGGCCATTCTGAGCCGGCATCCCATATGCCACAACTAGAAGGACCCACAACTAAAATATACAACTATGTACCAGGGGGCTTTGGGGAGAAAAAGGAAAAATAAAATCTTTATAAAGAAAAAAAACCCAAAAAAACCTAAATCTACCAACCAGAGATAACCACTATCTCTATTTTGGTATCATTCAGCCCTTGTTCTATGTCTGTGTTTAATTTACATATTTTAGAAAATTAGGCTCCTCCTTACTGTTTTGAAATCTGCTATTTCACTTTATCTTTCATGGGCATTTCCTCAGTAACTACATATATATCTACAATATGAGGAACAAAATGAGTACCCTAGACCAAGTTTTCACATGATGCCAAGCAATATACTCTTGGGATAGTTAGTCATGTCAATAAAAAGTAGATAAATTTGATAATGGATTTGCTTTGTTCAAAGCTGAGTGGGAATGTATTTCTTCAGAAAAAATAAGATTAAGAATAATGTAGCAAATTTTCTTTATTGTATAACTAGTAAAATGTAAAAGTAATGTTTATAATAGAAATACTTTGCTCTCTCCAACAAGAAAATCTTTGCCAGGAAAAAAAAGAAGTGTTTTCACAATATAGTACTAAAAAAAAAGAAATCAGGTTACAAAGTAGTCTATACAGTATGATCCCTAATTTGTTTCATAAAATGTAAACAGCACAGGGGGAAACAAGTCTGGAAAGACATACACCAAAGCATAAACAGCTCTTTCCCGGTAGCATGATTAAGGATGATCTTTATTTTCTTCTTAATGCTTTTCTAAATTTTCTTCAATGCGCTGGTACTACTTTTGGAATCAGAAAAGACAGCTTTATACTCTCAAGAAACTGTCCAAAGTCAATGCTATAAATGAAAGATAGCAAGGGTGTGGACAGTTCAAAAGTGACTTATTTGATAGTTAGACTTGTTTTTACATCTTCTGTGAACTTCCTCCACGCGTTTTCACACTGCACTGAAACTTTATTTACTTGGTGTTTGTTGGGTCTTTTGTTCTTTCACTCAACAATTATTAAGACTCTATTACGTGCCAGGCGCTGCTCTAGGTATCGAGGGCTTAGCAGTGAACAAAACAGATGAAGTCTATCCCTCTTTGATAGGGAAGATAAATACTAAAAACATTTAAACAAAAATATATTTTTAGTGGCATACAAACACAAGCACACAACACACACACACAAACCTACTTTCAAGTGTGATGAAGAAAAGCAAAGAAGGATAAAGGGGTAGAGAGACACTAAGGTGGGAAGACACAATTGTTTTAGGCAGGGTAGGTCTCCTGAGCAGAGAACTGAATGAAGACAGCTAGCTAGGTAAAGATAGGGGAGAACAGGCTAGGTGGAGGGAACAGCGAGTAAAAAGGCCTTGAGACAGCCACGAGCTTGGAATGTACAAGAATAGTGAGAAAAAGAGCAGTGTAGTAAAAGTGGAATGAGCAAGTGGAAGAGCAGTAGTAGGTGATGCAGAAGAGCTACGTGGGGGTCAGATCATGTAGGGCCTTACAGGGCTGTACAAGGATTCTGAATTTATTCTAAAGGGGATGCAAAGGCACTCAGTTCTTAAAGGATCACTCTGCCTACTGTATGGATAACAGATTGTGTGAGGGAATGAAGGGAAGCAGGAAAACCTGTGAGGAGATTATTACAGGTGTCCAGGCAAGAAACAATGATGGCCTGGACCAAAGTGGTAGGGCAAGAGGATGAGATGTGGTCTGACACGGATATATAGGGGTTTTTTTAATTGAAAGCAGTTCAAAGAATTGAGTAACTCTTTTTTTTTTTCTTAAAGGTATGCTTTTTTTTGGTGACAGCTAACATCTGTTGCCAATCTTCCTCAATTTTTTTTTCTACCCAAAGCCCCAGTACATAGTTGTATATCCTAGGTGTGAGTCCTTCTAGTTCTTCTATGTGGGATGCCACCACAGCATGGCTTGATGAGTGGCGCGCAGGTCCACATCCGGGATGCAAATCGGCGAACCCCAGGCCACCAAAGCAGAGCACACAAACTTACAGACTCAGCCATGGGGCCAGCCCAGACATGGACATATTTTGATGGTTGAGCCAATATAACTTGCTGATGAATTACATAAAGGGAATGAGACAGAAATTTTAGATGATTCTTAGGTTCTTGGCCAAAGCAACAGGGTGAATGAATGGTAGTGACATTTACTAAACTGAGGCTGACTGCAGGAGAAACAAGTTTGTGAGTGGCAGAAATCAAGAGAAACCATTTCAGACATGTTCAGTGTGAGAGCACTGTTAGACAGTCAGGTCAAGATGGCAGGTAGACAATCTTACCTATGACTCTGCAGTTCACATGCAAGTTGGGCATGAAGATGTATAACTGACATTTAAAGGTATAGGACTAAATGTTACCTCTTAGGGTGTGAGGGCAGAGAGAAAAGAGGATGGCCAGAGACAACCCTGAGGTCCACTAACTTTAGAGGTGGCAAAGGGAAAGGCAAGTGACCAGTGAGGTGTCACAGAAGCCAAGTGAATAAAGTGTTTCCAGTAGGAGACAGTGATCACCTGGATCAGATCTGCTAAGAAGTATAGTAAGTAAGATAAGGATTGAGAACTGATGACCTTGACAATGGATGTAGAGTGATGCAGGAAAATAACTGGTTTATGTTCAAGAGGGAACTAGAAGACAACTGCGTACGGACAACTCTTTCAAGGCATATTTACTGCTTTAGGGACAAGAGAATTGACCACTGTATCTCTAGCATCTTGCTAGCTCTTGGCATAGAGTAAGTGTGAAATAAGTGTTACTGAATTAATGTCAAATCTGAAAATTCCCAATACTTCAAATCATATTGAGAAACTCGAATGGGTGAGAGCTAGAGAGCTTCCTGCCCACCTCATTCTGTTCCCAGCATAATTCTTTAGGCTCTTGATTTTAGGAAGACCCTCCACAATGAGGATGAACAGCAAAATCATAAGCTTCTCTTTCTCTTTCATAACTTGGTGTGTATCTGAGACAAAAAGGTAATTAATTAGCATTGTGACTGGCAGCTGAACCAAGAAATGAGAGAAAGATCTCCAATTTCTGCTCCCCAATTTTCCAGAGGTTATATATAATAAAAGTCAACAGGTAAATTATAAACATGTCACCAAGGGGTTAAAAAAAAAGAACAGTGGTCAAGTCATTTAAACAAAATATCTTAATCCAAATCCTCTGCTGAGACCTTAAAAACAGACATTATTTTACAAAATGGGGAATTCTACCCCCCCTCCCCCTCGCCTCAATTCAGACACCTTTCCCTTCATCACAGCATAATAGTGAAGCCTTTGCAGCAAAAAGGCAATCTCCAGAAAACAGTCAGCTTTCCCTACCTGACAAAATGTCTTCTGCTAATTCCTTTTCTCTTTCAATTTTTTCCTCTAGAGTTGAAATGCAGAATTCATAGCCAGCAAGAGCAAATTCCTGTCTGTAAAGCAAAGATTAGTAATTGACCGTTCACCATTTCACAAACTCCTCTTCTACCCTCATTTTCCTAGCTTGGGTTTGAGCATTATCAATAAAGGAAGTGTAACATGGGAAGAGAATTTTGTTTCAAGTCTCTAAGGGGTGTCAATCTGCCACTTCTCAATAGGTTTTTTTTTTAGTCACCCATTTAATGTAACTTAAGACATAAAAAGCTAGGAATGCTGCCATAGTTTTGTTTTTAAAGATTTTTATTTTTTCCTTTTTCTCCCCAAAGCCCCCCCTGGTACATAGTTGTATATTTTACTTGTGGGTCCTTTTAGTTGCGGCATGTGGGATGCCGCCTCAGCATGGCTTGATGAGCGGTGCCATGTCCACGCCTAGGATCTGAACCAGTGAAACCCTGGGCCACCAAAGCAGAGCATGCAAACTTAATCACTCGGCCATGTGGCCAGCCCCTGCCACAGTTTTAGTAACTGACATAACCAGCAGTTTTCATCATCTCCCACTAAGTTTCAAGTGAGTCAGTTTCTCCGTTTATGAAAAGTCTTACACCTGCTCAAAGTAAAACTAGTATGAACAGAGGCTAAGGCCACCCAGCACTAGGATTCTAACTACTGACCTCATACAATTTCTGGAGAGGTTTACTAACTTTATACTTCTTCCAAGCTGCAGGTCTTTGATAAAAGTTTCTTTTACAGAAATGGAACTTCTAGCTATGGCACTAGAAGGCATTTAGCCCTACTCTAGCCCTGGACTCAGTCAAGTGTAGAGGACACCCAAGCAGCAGGCAGACTGACTCTGGATAGAACAAGTTGTCAACTGCTGGTTTCTATAAAGAGATGCGCAGAAACATGACAGAAATACCTTCTCCATCCAGAAGCTCAGCCCTGGTTCTTGCTCTTCCATTTTGACTCTAGTTCCTTACCAGAAGCAGCACTACAAAGCTTACCCCTTCTCTTAGTGCTTTGGCAGGGGAGAAGAAATGACCCAGAAGAACACAAGCTTCCCCAGACCAAAACCTTGGCAGGAGGGATCCTATCCAGCCACAGAGCAAGGGGAGGCTGCCCACAAGATGCTCCCAGTCAGAGAAAAATGTCTATAAACAACTCCATTCCTACCTAGTATCAGCCTTTCTAAGCCTCAAGATCTGGCCACAGATTTTCTGGTCTCATGCTTCTCTTAACAAAACAAAATGAAAAAACACTTTTGAGGAGCGTATAGAGTAACTTACAGGCTAATTATTAGTGGCTATTACACAAGCTTTCACCTCTACAAGACCATGAATTTGTCTTTCTCTCCAGTGTTATTAGCTATGAGCCTCTTCTTACTCTAGAAGTTCATACTACATCAACATCTAGTCCTGTTTGTTACTCCTCCAAGGGAGACTGATCACAGCTGCAATGCTCCCAACACAGCCAACCTCAAAGCTCCTCAAAAGACGTGAAGTCAGGGGCCAGCCTTGTGGCCAAAGTTTCACGTGTTTCACTTCAGCGGCCAGGGTTCACAGGTTTGGATCCCGGGTGCGGACCTACTCTACTCAGCCATGCTGTGGAGGTGTCCCACATACAGAGTGGAGGAAGACTGGCACAGATGTTAGCTCAGGGCTAATCTTCCTCAAGCCAAAAAAAGAGAGGAGGATTGGCAACCGATGTTAGCTCAGGGCAAATCTTCCTCTCACACACAAAAAAGACTTGAAGTCAAAGGCCCTCAGAAGTTCTAGCCTCTGGTGTCCAAACAAACGCAGGGAGACTAAGCAGGTCCTGCTGAGAATGAAAGGAGCTAGTGACTAGGGAATAGGGACCAGTGCCAGAGCCCTTGGCCTAAACGAGCACTCTTTCTATAGCACTAGGCTTTATATCATTCCAAACCTCTGGTATCCAACTTCTACAGCAACTAAAAACCTAAAGAAAAGCTAGTCTTAGGTCTTCCCTTAAATTTACCCAAAAACATAACTCTAGAGGAGTTGTCTGCTTACATCCTAGCTATTTCTTCTTTGAACTCCACCTAGAGAGAATGAAAGGCACGAGGCCTCACTTACCAGTACTCCTGACATTGGGCACACAATCGAATTGTTTTCTAAAGCTTTTCTTGTGTAGCTGACAAGATGTTTTCTTCTTTATACAAATTTAGACTCATCTAACACTTTTAAATTAGCACCAACTTCCTGTCCTACTTATCCAAAGGTCTCTCCTTTACTCCTAGATATTTCCCCTTCCTAAAAACCTAGCTACCTGATCTCTACATGCCTTAAAAAAAAGAGCCCACTGAACTAACCACTTACACTCCCACAGCAATTCTCTCATCGTTCAACTTTATACCTAACTTCCTGCTTTGTTGATACTTAATCAGCAAAATGGTTTCTTCAAAGTATATTATCCCTGGCAGCTTTTACATTGCCCCCTCCTCTTCAAGGAAGAGCTACACTAAAGTTCTGCCTATAACTTCCTTTCCCAGTTCAAGAAGGAATAGAAAACTTGATTAGCTTTGCCACAGTGCACCAGAGGTGTGAGGGCTACCTGCCCCGCTCAGGAGGCTAATGGAAACAGCAGGGCAAAACTGGAAAGGACTAAGATTTCAGAGATGAGAGACCGAACACTTTGAGAGTGACACCCAATTTTCTGGCGACTCAGATGATTAACAGGTAAATGAAAATCATATGACATCCCAGGGGCAAAGGTTTCTGCCCACAGCCCTACCGACCAGCTGCTGCCACACCTAGATTCTGACTATACTTACCTGTTCTGAGCAGCATAGATACTGGCCAGCTTTAAAGAGATTTCAATTATTGCATTGTCTTCCTGTTGGGGAAAAGAAAAATGAAGGAAATTCATGACAAGTAAAATTCCCTCCCTCACAGAATATTTCAGATCAACGTCTAGACTGACTTTGGCCTGAAAATCTTTATCCCTTACCATAATCTTTATCCTTTTGGAGGAATTAGACAACTTTGAATTCCTCTGCTACCATGCTTTTGCATGAATGAAAGACTGACAGTTTTTATACAGATCCTGGGGGGAAAACCCACCTTTTTTGGCCAAAGTACACATTGGGAGCTAGGTGGAGTTTTCAGGAAGCAAGACTATTGTGAAAACTGCTTCATCAAGGGCCCAATCCTATGCAACGTCCTTACCTGTTGCGTGCCCCCTCCAAGCAGGTAACTCATTGTTGCCTTAAAAAGTTTTTCCGCCTAAAAGCATAAGGCAAAGATTTTTCTTTTACTTGGATCCCAATAGAGACATAACTCTGGATTCTAAGTACTAGTCTGATGCATCATTCCTTGTAAAACACAACATACACACACTCACATACACACAGCAAGGTGTCCTTGTAATGGGAAAAGACTAAAATACCGGGACCCCACATCCTCTGGGCACTTTGCAAACTATCCTGTGATGAGTAGAAACCAACTTCAAAAATTAACTTTTCATCCAAACCCAATATGGCAGAGACTGCAAAGTATTCCCTAATATTCACTCTTCTCTTCATCTTTTAAGTTAGAGAATCTCCTCAATTTTTAATAGGTCAGCCTCCTTTGAAGTTTGGTGTGGTCATATGATGAAGCTTTGGCCAAGAGATGCAAGCAGAAGAAAGCGTGAACAATTTTTAAATTTTATTTTATACGAAAGCTTCTTGCTCTCCATCTTCTCTTTTTTCCTTCCTGCAAGCTGGAGGTGAGCCAGTTTACCTATGCAGATGAGGACATATCTTAGAAGGAACCTGGGCTTCTGGACCATTTCAAGGAGCAGAGATATCTACCCATCTTCAGTGTTTAGCCCCCTCCAGATTAATGCATTAAAGAGAAATATACCGCCTTCTTGTTTGAATCACCCTATGTTGGAGTCTCTTTGTTACTGCAGCTTAGCCTGTACCCTTATTAATAGAGTTTCCTTGAGAGTAGTCTTTCATAAATTCAAGATATTACAAAGTAATTTACTTACTTACATCTTCAAGCTGACCCCGTATATATGCTAAGTTGGCCATCTGAAAGCAAATTACAAATTGTTTTTCAGTTTAGAGCACAGTGTTCCCACTTATTTCAAAACCTTTAAGCTAAAGACTCCCTTCTGCTTTCAACCTCTAAATAAAAAAAAACAGTTCAGGGCCTGGCCCAGTGGCACAGCAGTTAAGTTCACACGTTCTGCTTCGGTGGCCTGGGGTTCCCCGGTTCAGATCCCAGGTGCGGACATGGCACCATCTGGTAAAGCCATGCTGTGGTAGGTGTCCCACATATAAAGTGAAGGAAGATGGGCATGGATGTTAGCTCAGGGCCAGTCTTCCTCAGAAAAAAGAGGAGGATTGGCAGCAGTTAGCTCAGGGCTAATCTTCCTCAAAAAAAAAAAAAAGAAAAAGGTTCAGAGAGGAGCCTGGCCAGTGGCATAGTGGTTAAGTTTGTGCACTCTACTTTGGCGGCCCAGAGTTTGCCAGTTTGGATCCAGGGTGCGGACCCACACACCACTTATCAAGCCATGCTGTGGCAGGCGTCCCACGTATAAAGTAGAGGAAGACGGGCATGGTTGCTAGCTCAAGGCCAATCTTCCTCAGCAAAAAGAGGAGGATTGGCAGCGGATGTTAGCTCAGGGCTAATCTTCCTAAAAAAAAAAGGTTCACAGAGAAAAGTATGTCACTAATCTGCTAGAAGCAAAGTACAGCAATGGCGTAAGAGCAAATAACTGCATATACTCTGATGATGACAAACCAAATCTAAATCCACTCATCAATGAAGAAACAAATATCATCAAATTTGATCTGGGATTGAGACTTCTCATAAGTGACACCCCAAGGGTAATAAAAATTGAAATCAAAAGAAACCTAATAAAAATAAAAAACCAAAGAGCTTTAGGACATCCTGAAGGTGAGGAATATAAATCAGGAGAGCTAACAACCCTTCTCTTGTATCCACCCTTCATCATCACGGGCTCAGATTGGTTAGGAGAGTTACCAAATCATAAGTGTAAGTGATGGCCTTCTTGTTTTCACTCTCATAGGCAAGACGAAGAGCGTCATGCAAAATTAACTCAGCCTCTTCTGGCTCATCTTTCATGATGCTCAACTGAAAAAAAAACAAAGAAAATAAAAGGAAATGAAATGTAAAGAAAGCAGACGCATGTACTACGAGACAGAAATGGATAAGGCAATACATCCCAATATATACAAGGAAGCTATTCATTCATTCATTTAAATATTTATTGAATTCCTACTATGCACCAGGCGTTACGTCTATCACAGTGACACTGGAGGTCAGCCTTTGTTGCAGCTATGTGTGGCTATATGACGAAATTTTGGCCAACAGATGCAGGCAGCAGGAATGTGAGCAATCTTTGTATCATACTTTATAAGAAAGCTGCTTGCCCTACACCCTCTTTCTCTCTTCCTGCAGGATGGAAATGATCTTGTAGAACAAATAAGCTTAATTACTACTAATGATAAGAGCTATGAAGAAAAGCAATGGAAAGGAACAATAAGGGGCCTCCTCTAAATGGGAGTCAGAGAAACCTTCCAAGGAAGTGACAGTTAAACTGAGGTAGGAAGGATGAGACAGAGTCAGCCGAATAAGAATGCATGGGGGGAAACGACCCAAACAGAGAGTAGGGAATGAGTGAAGGCCCTACACGTTGAAGAGAATGGTTTTTCAAGAACCATTCAAGAAATGAAAGGAAAGAGATGTGAAGGGAGGATGTGAGCCAGAGTATTATTGCCAAACAAGTGAGCAAGGTAGGGTGCTGTAGATCATACAGAGCCTTGCAGGCCATGCCAAAGAGTTTGGATTTTATCATAAATGCAGTGGGAAGTCATTCAAAATATCTGGGCAAGAAGGTGATATGATCTGACTTACATTTAAAAATATCAATCTGGCTGCTACATGGAGAATGGATTGTAGGGGGGCAACAGAGCAGGCAAGACTACTAGATAGCAGGCTGCAGCAACGTAGCTAGTGTGACAGCAGCAGAGACAGAGAAAAGGGGGTAAATTTGAGAAACATTTTGGATTTGGTGGTAACAGAATTGCTGCTGGACTGTAAGTGAATCAGGAGGTGATGGTAAAGTATCAAACGTTTTAGGAATGACTATGAGGTTTCCAGGCTGAAAAATTGGGTAGATGGAAGTCAAGAGAAGACGGTGAAGGAACGTGTTCCAGAGGCATTTAAGATCAAGAGTTTAGTTTTGGGCAGGTCAAGCCTGAGACGTAGGAGGGGCCTGCAAGTGAAGACGGCATGTCAGTAGCACACTGCGGTATGGGAATATAAATTTGGACGTTGCTGGTTGGCATCCAGGCAGTACTTAGCACAATGGAAGAGATGCGATAACCTGGGGAGAAGAGAAAACAGAAAAGATTGTGGAGAAAAGGAAGAGTTTAAAAAGAAGAGAACCAAACCGCACATAACCAACACTAAACTGCAATTTCAGGGCGCTACATGTGTGTAAAATTTTCTATGCCAGTCCTTTCAGCTTGACTGGTTCACTGACAGAAACAACTACAAAACATTTCCGCAAATTTTCTTTGGATAAAAGGGCGATGCCCGTGCTGCCATCTCCAGCTCCCCTCGAGACTGCAGCAGTTCCACTGCAGGCGTTCGAGTCTGACCAGCCTAGATGGCTCCCAACCCCCGCCCCCACGACCCACCTAATACCGGGGAGTCTACCCTCGGGGCCTCCACTGAGTCCTCGGGGAACCGGAGAGGACTGCGCAGCCACAGGCCGCCGGGCCCCGCGCACACGGGCCGCCTCACCTTGGCTCGCTTCAGCAGCTGGATGATCTCGGCCTCGGCCTCGTCCGCCGCGTCCCCGGCGGCGGCCCCGCCCGCTGCCGGCCGCTCCTCCGCCGCGGGCCTCGAGAACCAAGAGAGGGCTGCGGGAGGGGGCCCTGAGGTCACCGCGCGGCCCGCGCCCCGACCCCCGCCAGGCCGGCCCCGCCCGGCCCGCGCCTCTCACCTGCCAGCAGCGGCAGCAGGCCCGGGCCCCGGCCGCGCGGCGCGACGCGGGAGGGCGGCACTTCCACCTCAGGCAGCCGGCCTCCTGCCGGCCCCGGGAGCGGGCGCGCCGGGCAGCCCCGGCACCGCCGCCCCGCGGCCCGCAGGACGCCTCGGCCCAGGCTCTGGATGAGGAGCCGGTACATGCTCGCGCCGTGTCCTCTGCGCACTGCAGGCGCGACCGCACCGTGGGACGCCCCGCCCCCGACGCCGAGCGCCCGCCGGATTGGTAGGGCCGGGACGTACCAGGAGGAGTCGTCTTTGCCGCCCGCGTGCGCGGTGACGCACGCCGACGTCACTGCGCCTCGCTCCACCCCCGGCCGGCGGCGGGAATGCCTCGGGGGTCTGTCGCAGCGTCGCGCCCGCTTCTCCGTCTGAGGAGGCTGAGGCGTGTGGCGCCATGGCTGGCGCCTTGCCGGCGGTCACGCTGCCGTCTGTGGTGGCGGAGCTTCTGAGCGAGATGGCCGCGGCGGTGCGGGAGGGGGCGCGAAGTACGGGCCGGGGCGCGGGCGTGGCTGCGTCGTGGGCCGTTTGCCTGGGGCGGGGGCGGGAGGCACGGGCCTCGCCCGCGGGGCGCTACCCTCGCCCTGGCCGTCACGTGCTGTTTTCCCTTGTGGTTCTATCTCCAAACCTCCTGGTCGCAAGAAAAAGAAAGGAGAAGAAGAGGTGAAAGTGTTTAGCGTCCAGCGCAGTAGCCCCTGCGGCCGCTCGTCAGGAGCGCGCCGGCCGGGGCGCCGGGGGCCCGCAGGGGCTCACAGAGGCTCGCAGAGGTCCAGTTTGGAATTAGTAAACTTGCCTATAGTCCTTATCTCTCAAAATCTTACGTTAATTTTAAAATTAGTCCTCTCATAACGTTTTGTTCAGCAAATAAGTATTTTAGGGCCAAATGCACCGGCGGGCTGCAGCAAACCCGGATGCTGGGGAGGCACCTGGAGCTTTTCTCTGAGCGGCAGAGGGCGCTGAGCGGCCCGCCGGGCGGCCCCGGGGTCGGCGGCGAGCTGGGTGCGGGCGGCGCGGCCGCTGAGGGGCCGCCTGACGACGCGGGCTGGGCCGCGGAACTGCCCCCGGGGGGCTTTTGTTCTAAAGCCGCTGCGCTTTGAAAGGGTTTATCTTGACTTAACTGTTTTTGGAGGATTGAGAGAAGTAAGCCAACTTTTGTTTTTCTAAGTTCAGACTAACACAGTGTGTATGCTTGAAAGAGCAGGCCAGCCAGGTGGGCAAACGTGTTCTGACCCCAGGAAGGGTGGGGAAGAAGCCAGCCCGTTGTCGGCTCGAACAGTGGTTGACAGAAGGGGCTCTGTCCGAGTGGGTTAGTCCGGACCCTGTGACGGCCTCCGAGGGGCCCAGTAAGTGCCCCTGGAGCTCATGGCGCGCCCAGAGGGGCCACTGCCGTTCATCCATGTTTATTGTCAGCAGAACCGTTTTCTGCTATTTTAAAATCTTTGTCCTAGGTAGTCATACACGCTTCCTGACCCCTCTCCTTCAATGGCCGTGTTTTCAGAGCAAGATTCTGCGTTTCCACTCGGATGATGTAAAATCTAGTCACAGCTGAGCTGTGTAGGAAGCTATGATTACGTTTCCTTTCCTGCATAGCTTTTGGTTTTCCCTGGAATTACCAACTTTGGTGGTTGCGTTTGCTTGCTTGTTTAGTGTTCTACCTATTGATCCCTAATTCGGCCTCAGACTCTTTACCACTGTCCTCAGTCTCTCCCCGAGATGCTCAGCTGAGTGCTGTCAAGTTCCTTCTCCCCAGAAGTCTCTCGTGGGGCCTCCGACTCCCCCTGACGGTGGCCTGGCCGTCCCTGGCTGTCTCCTCACATCCGCCTGCCCCGTTACTGTCCTGGGGATTTCCTTTGCCCGTGTTGAACTTTAGTATATCCTACAATTTGCTTTTTCTCGGCTTACTGTCTTATTTTATAGAGCGCGTGCTCTACTGCATCCTGAAAAAGAGTGCATGAGATGTACTTTTTGAGGCTTTGTATGTTTGAAAAGGTTCTGTTTCTATCCTCACACTTAGTTGATAGTTTGGCTAGGTATTGAATTATGTGTTGGAAATAATATTTCTTCGGACACCTGAAAGCATTATTGCAGTACCTTCTACTTTCTTAAACCTACTTTAAAGGAGTCTTATTTTAGCCCCCCTGCTTCATCCCCACCTCCAGAGCAATCTGGTGCCACCAGTTGCTGAGGAATTGTTTTGGGGTGGAGGAGTGGATTCTGGAGTGTAAATCAGGTTATTGCCTAGCTCTCCTCATTGCTGGCTTAGGATTCAGTTTTCTTGGGTCTTGTAAATTATTTTCCAACATATTTTGGCGGTTGTTTCTCCCTGTCCTCCTCATCCTTTGGAGTTTATGCTTTTTAAAAAAGCCTTCTATTATAGTTTAGTGGAATATTGGGAAGGGGTAAAATTAGATTCATAGGCTCAACTCACCACCTTTCACAAAAATCTTTTTGGTTATAGTCTTTTAAGATTTTTATGTCTGTGGTCACTGGTTTAACATCATTAACTTTCTTTCCATTTCCTGTTTTACAGTTCCTGATGAGCATCTGTTATCGTAAGTACATCTCCTGTCGTACTTTTTTTTTTATTGAGTTACTGATAGATTACAGTCTTGTGAAATTTCAGTCGTACATTGTTGTCCGTCAGTCATGTTGTAGGTGCACCCCTTCACCCTTTATGCCCACCCCCCATCCCCCCTTTCCCCTGGTAGCCACTAATCTGTTCTCTTTGTCCACATGTTTAAATTCCTCACATGAGTGGAGTCATACAGAGATCGTCCTTCTCTATCTGGTTTATTTCACTTAACATAATTCCCTCAAGGTCCATCCATGTTGTTGCAAATGGGACAATTTGGTTCTTTTTTATGGCTGAGTAGTATTCCCTTGTATATATGTACCACATCTTCTTTATCCAGCCATCTGTTGATGGGCACTTAGGTTGCTTCCACGTCTTGGCTGTTGTAAATAACGCTGCAGTGAACATTGGGGTGCATAGGACTTTTGGGATTGCTGACTTCAAGCTCTTTGGATGAATACCCAGTAGTGGAATAGCTGGTTCGTATGGTAGTTCTATTTTTAACTTTTTGAGGAATCTCCATACTGTTTTCCATAGTGGCTGCACCAGTTTGCATTCCCACCAGCAGTGTATGAGGGTTCCTTTTTCTCCACAACCTCTCCAACATTTGTTACTATTAGTTTTAGTTATTTTTGTCATTCTAATGGGTGTAAGGTGATATCTTAGTGTAGTTTTGATTTGCATTTCCCTGATGATCAGCGATGATGAAAATCTTTTCATGTGCCTATTGGCCATCCGTGTATCTTCTTTGGAGAAATGTCTGTTCATGTCTTCTGCCCATTTTTAGATCGGGTTGTTTGATTTTTTGTTGTTGAGTTGTGTGAGTTCTTTATATATTATGGATATTAAGCCTTTGTCGGATGGATGACTTGCAAATATCTTTTCCCAGTTAGTGGGTTGTTTTTTTGTTTCAATCCTGTTTTCCCTTGCCTTGAAGAAGCTCTTTAGTCTGATGAAGTCCCATTTGTTTATTCTTTCTATTGTTTCTGTTCTCTGAGAAGACATGGTGTCCGAAAAGATCCTTTTAATACTGATGTCAAAGAGTGTACTGCTTACACTTTCTTCTAGAAGCCTTATGGTTTCAGGTCTCAGCTTTAGGTCTTTGATCCATTTTGAGATTATTTTGGTGAATGGTGAAAAAGAATGGTCAATTTTCATTCTTTTACATGTGGCTGTCCAGTTTTCCCAGCACCATTTGTTGAAAAGACTTTCTTTTCTCCATTGTAGGCCCTCAACTCCTTGGTCAAAGATTAGCTGTCCATAGATGTGTGGTTTTATTCCTGTGCTTTCAATTCTGTTCCATTGATCTGTGCACCTGTTTTTGTACCAGTACCATGCTGTTTTGATTACTGTAGCTTTGTAGTATGTTTTGAAGTCAGGGATTGTGATGCCTCCAGCTGTGTTCTTTTTTCTCAGGATTCCTTTAGCAATTCAGGGTCTTTTGTTGCCCCATAAGAATTTTAGGATTCTTTGTTCAATTTCTGTAAAGAATGTCGTTGGGATTCTGATTGGGATTGCATTGAATCTGTAGATTGCCTTAGGTAGTATGGGAGCGTTATTTCTTCTTGATGAAGTAGCCCTTTGATCATTATATATTGGCCCTCTATGTCTCTCTTTACCTGCCTTATCTTGAAGTCTGTTTTGTCTGATGTAATTATTGCGACATCTGCTTTCTTTTGTTTGCTGTTAGCTTGGAGTACTGTCTTCCACCCCTTCACTCTGAGCCTGTGTTTGTCCTTGGAGTCGAGTTGTGTTTCCTGGAGGCAACAAATTGTTGGATCTTGTTCTTTAATCCATTTTGCCACTCTGTGTCTTTTTATTGGAGAGTTCAGTCAGTTTACATTGAGGGTGATTATTGACGCGTGAGGGCTTAATGCTGGCATTCTGATGCTCATTTTCCAGTTTTCCTGTGTTTCCTTTGTTTCTCGTCCTCTGTGTTTTAGCCTACCCATTGACTTCTGCAATTTCTTATGCTGGGTTTCTTAGATTTTTCCTTATTTATGTTTTGTGTCTCTGTTCTGTTTTTTAGTTCAGTGGCTACCCTGAAGTTTCAGAATCTCGTGTATAACATAGTCCGTTTTCTGGTGGTCTGTTACTTACTTAGCCTAGACCGTTTCAGTCCCTTTCCTCCTCCCCTCCTAAATTATTATTTTCATCTCTTATTCCAACTTGTGTTGTGAGTTTGTGGTTAGAGTGCTAAGATTGTCTTTGCTTTGGTGGTTTTCTTCCCTTTATCCTAATGCTATAGTTGAATGTTTGCTATCCTATTCAGATTCTATCTGTCTCCCTACTCTGTGTTTTGTGACCGCTTTCTCCCTTTTTTCTTTTTTCAGATATAAGAGCCTTCTTGAGGATTTCTTGTAGTGGAGGTCTTGTGGCTACGAAGTCCCTTAGCTTTTGTTTGTCTGGAAAAGATTTAATTTCTCCCTCATATCTGAAGGATGTTTTTGCTGGATAGAGTATTCTTGGCTGAAGATTTTTATCCTTTAAAGTTTTCAATATGTCACTCCAATCTCTCCTAGCTTGTAAGGTTTCTGTAGAGAAATCCACTGAAAGTCTGATGGGGGTTCCTTTGTAGGTTATTTTCTTCTGCCTTGCTGCCCTGAGTCGTCTTTCTTTGTCATTCATTTTTGCCATTTTTACTGCTATATGCCTTGCAGTAGGTCTTTTTACATTGACAAATCTAGGAGATCTGAAAGCTTCCTCCACACACATTTCTCTCTGAATCCCTAGATTTGGGACGTTCTCTTCTATTATTTCATTGAGCACACTTTCTGCTCCATTTTCCTTTTCCACACCCTCAGGAATTCCAATTATTCTTAAGTTGCATTTTCTCATTGAGTCAGCTATTTCTCAGAGATTTTCTTTGGTTTTTTTAATTCTTAGTTCTCTTCCTCAGTCTGGAGGCATTCAGTCTGTCTATCTTCAGTTATGCTAATTTACTCCTCTATTGTGCCTACAGGGGCATTCAGGGAATCCATATTCTCTTTTATCTGATCCATTGTATTTTTCATCTCTAGTATTTCTGAGTGATTCTTCTTTATAGTTTCAATCTCTTTTATGAAGTAACTCCAGAACTTTGACTTGTTTCTCTATATTCCCCTTTACCTCATTGAGTATTTTGATGATAACTATTTTGAATTCATCTTCACTTAGTTTATCTATTTCCAAGTCCTCAGGACATACTTTTGTGTTTTTATTGTTTTCCTTGTGGACTGGAGCTTTTATAAATTGCTGGATGGTAGAGGAGCAGTTTTTGCACATGATGTGATTATTTGGTTGCGGTTACAGCCTGTCACCACTAGATGGGGGTCGAGAGCCACACGTTCTGAGCCCTCCACCTTCAGCTGGGATGGTGGCGCGCAGTGCAGGTTGGGGGAGGAGGGGCACTTTCTCTTGTGCGCCCGACCTGCATTTGGATCAGCTCTTGCTCTCTGGTCTCCCAGGTCCCTGGCTTGATGGGGTCCCCCCATGTGAAAGCTTTCCCTGTTAGAGGGTTTCTGCTGCACAGGCAGTGGGAGTCCTGGACGATTCCACAGATGTGTGGCCCCTCCCCTGCTGCTTCCGTCCCTTGGCAGTGATCCCAGTCTCTAGGAGGGTGAACGAAGTTCTCTCTTACCCCGTTCCAGCTCCTCCGACAGCGGCTCCAACCTCTCTACCCTCCATCGTTTGGCTGCTGCAGGTCTCTGACAGTTTCTGTTATTAGGATTTTTTTTTTTTCGGTTGGAAAGCAGTTGCTCTTTTTGGTTGTAATTTGGACGGAAGAGAGTCCTGGGTGAGCTCACCCCGCCATGTTGCTGACGTCACTCCGTCCTTGTTTTTTTTTAACCATTAACGTATTTTAAAAGCTAAATCCTTTCAACATCAACTCTTGAATTTTTTTTCTTTTTGAGAAAGATCGGCCCTGAGCTAACATCCACTGCCAATCCTCTTTTTGCTGAGGAAGATTGGCCCTGAGCTAACATCTGTGCCCATCTTCCTCCATTTTATATGTGGGACACTTGCCACTGCATGGCTTGACAACCAATGCTAGGTCTGTGCCTGGGATCCGAACTGGTGAACCCCACGCTGCCAAAGCGGAGCTCACGAACATAACCACTATGCCACAGGGCTGGCCCCTCAACTCTTGATGTTTAAAAATATTCTTACTAAACTAGGAACAATATTTTCTCGACGTGATTGTTAAACATCTGTCTCAAATGAATAGCCAACACCATATTTGCCAGCACAAGGCACTCCCGTGTTGTCCTATGCCACTTTTGTTTAACGTTGTTCTAGAAGTTGTAGCTGTTACACTAACACATGAAAAAGAAATCAGCATACCTATCTTCAAGGAAAGACAATTATCATTATTTGTAGATGATATAACTACTTTTTAAAAACCAAGAGAGGGGCTGGCCCAGTGGCACAGTGGTTGAATGCGCACATTCCGCTTCTTGGTGGCCTGGGGTTTGCCGGTTCAGATCCCAGGTGCAGACATGGCACCGCTTGGCAAGGCATGCTGTAGTAGGCATCACACATATAAAGTAGAGGAAGATGGGCACAGATGTTAGCTCAGGGCCAGTCTTCCTCAGCAAAAAGAGGAGGATTGGCAGCAGTTAGTTCAGGGCTAATCTTCCTTTAAAATTTTTTTTAAAAATTAAAGCCAAGAGAATACAATTTTTTTAAAAAATACAGAACTTCAAAATTGTTTTCTTTCATACACAAAGTTAAAAAATATAATTACTTTCTCAATAGCAATAAAAAAGTGAAAGCTACCTAGGAATAAGTGACATTTAATTGCATATATACCCTTATATTTACAAGTCCAAGAGGATATACACCAACCTCTATCAGTGATTATCTCAGGGAAGGAAAGAACTGAAATTTAGAAAAGCGTTTTAACCTTTTCTCTATTAAGTTTTTTACAAATATTATACATTATTAGAAAAAAGTAGCTACTTATAAAACAAAGAAAATAGGCAAATAATAAAAGAATGCAAACAAACCTGGAAACAATCTAATTATTCAAATTAGGTTTGTAAACTCTAATCCCAAAATAGAGTTTGGGGGAAGTAAAAATAATTCATCTTTACAGTGGAATTCTTTGTAACCATTAAAAGTGATATAGAAAAATACTGCATTCAAGAGACATTTATAATGTGTTACAAAATGTACAGGGAAGGTTGAAAAGATTCTTTTTAGATCCATTTTTAAAGTTAACTGTGATTATCTCTGATTGATAAAGTTACCACCACATTTTATCTCTCTGTTTCTTTTTTGTCTATAGATGATCTTCATATGCTTAATGTAAAAAAAATTTTTAAACTCTCCCCATTTCAGTAGTTTCTCATATAAAGAAACTAGTTTTTTGGAAAATGAAGAAGCTGAACATTTTAATTTTGAAGTCTTAGTGGTTCTGTCTTCTTATTTTGTATAAAAATCATCTGGGTTCTTTACAACATTAACTTTTCAGTTTTAGTTCATTTTATTTTCTAGTTTATAAAAATAACCTATATTCGGGGAAAAAAAGTTCTTAGAAAATAAAACATAAAAAGCATAAACAATCATACCACCCAGTGATAATCACTGTTACATTTCAGTTTATTGCCTTTTTAAAAAATTAAACATTTTGAGATAATTGTAGATTTTCTTAAGAAAAAAATTTTTACATGATCGAGAGTTTCTAAATATACAATTTTGTGCCCAGCCTTTCTCACCTAATGTAAGAATTTTCCCACAAATCAAGTTTTTTCCTGATAAGTCATTTAACAACTGGATAGCCTTTATTATTAATCCAAAAAGTACAAATTTAACACTCATCAGATGGTCAAACATGAAAAAGTCAGATAATACTGTGTTGGTAAGGACGTGGAGAAAATAGAACTCCCATCAGCACTGATGGGAGTGCTGTTTCCACAGTGGAAAGCTGTTGGCGACACCTGTTAAAACTGAAAAATGTGCATATCCTAAGACCCGGCAATTCTACTTTTACTTAACATAAGCAGGAAGAATTCTCATATGTTCGCCAAGGGACATGTGCAGGGATAATTGAATATTATTTATAATAGTATAAAATGGTAACAATCAGAATGCCCATCAACAGGGTGTGTAAAAAGTAAAATGTAGTATGTACTTACAATGGAACATTATTCAAAAATTGAATTTAGGGGCCGGTCGGGTGACATAGCGGTTAAGTTCGCATGTTCATCTTCGGCAGCCTGGGGTCCACTGGTTCGGATCCTGGGTGTGGACATGGCACTGCTTGGCAAGCCATGCTGTGGTAGGCATCCCACATATAAAGTAGAGGAAGATGGGCATGGATGTTAGCTCAGGGCCAGTCTTCCTCAGCAAAAAGGAGGATTGGCAGCAGTTAGCTCAGGGCTAATCTTCCTCAAAAAAAAAAAATTTAAAGAAAATATATTAGCAGCATCATTTTCAAAAGCACATTAAATGGAAAAGAACAAGTTGCAAAAAAAGCTTGCAATATACCTTTTATGTTTTAAAACTTATAAAACAATGCATTTTGTATATGCATGTGCATGTATATGTGTGTGTGTATGCACACACACATATACTATGCGTAATAAAATATGAAAACATTAACAGGAAGGAAACCAACAAATGCACCTGATTGCCTCAGGGATGAAGGGAAATTGGGAAGGATAGGAAGCACTGCAAAGTATACAGAGGGCTTCTTTATCTGTAAACAACATGTTAACGTTTATTCTGGGGGGTTGATTACATGAGTTTTGCTATATTTTTTTCCAAGTTAAAGTGAGTTAATTTTTTTTAAATACTGTTATCCTTCAGGTCAAGTTACTGAGGTGACTTTGAGAGTCAGGCAATCTAATCTGAAGCCTTCCTGTTTCCCAGGCTGAAGTTTGTCTTTGGCTCATCAGCCATCCAAGCCTTGGACCTAGTTGATCGGCAGTCCATCACCTTAATCTCATCACCCAGCGGGAGGCGTGTTTACCAGGTAGAGATCTAGATGTGGGGATACCCCTTGGGACAAAATGTTTTCATGAATCTCTATTAGAAGTTGGTAACCAGCTTTAAGTATTTCCTGAACTGTTGAAAAGCATTTGACCCAATTTGGTAAAATTAGTGTATTAGTAATAAAAATAAGATAAATATGACCTATTAACTCTACCTAGTAGCAGTGTGTACTACCAACAATGATGTGGAGAGGCTCTTTTCTCAGGTCTAATGGAATATAATTGACTTTTGCATTCCCATTGTTTGAGAATAGAGGCGCTTCCCCCACCCCCCAAAAAAACGTGTTGAGATCTTCACCTTGTTCATTATCTCTTGCTTACAAGCAAAAGCCAAAATGCATTTTGAGGCCCTTGTACATGCTTGGATTCATCTATCAAAAATGATCTTTCAAAACTGTTGTCAGGAAGTATTTATTAAGGGTCAAATTGTGCTGAATGCAGGCAGTCTACTTGGACCTCAGTTTTGCCCTCTAAAGCGTAAGATAGGTAGATTTGTAGAGTAACAACCTCTTATCAGACTCTGAATTACTTTCATGTGTTATTGATAATTCTCACCAAAAGCCCAGCAAGGTATTTATTTTGCAGGAAACTGAGACGCAGAAAAGTAAATTAACAGTCACGTCTGGCAACTAGGATTTGTAACTGCTATCCCACACTGCCTGTCTATATAAGCAGTGGGCCAGACTCCAACCCATCCCCATCTTCCACCCCCCGTTTAGCTATATGAGACAATGGTAAGTGCAGGTGGGATTGAGGGAAGGGAATATTGTGAATGAAATAAAAATATTGGCAGTGGTCTGCAAAACTTTGTTTCTGGCTTGGAACGGGTAAAAAAGAAGTCATCTGCTCTTGTAAATAATCCAGGCCTTGCTGAAGGCCAGAAAAGAGGAAATTTTTCAGTGTTTGGATTCTGGTTTGTTTACAATGAATTCAGAGCTGAAACCACATCAATTAATTCTTAGTGAGTGAATGGCTTAAAGCCTGCTTCGGCAAATAGGTGCCTTTGCTTAGTGAATTAACTTGCTATTCCACATTGTAGCATAACTTAACTGACCTGGCAAAATCTTCATGCATTTCTTCATTAAGGAAATGGGGTAATTAGTATTGAATGCTGCAGTGAAAACTTTTGTTCTATATTTACTTAAAAGAGACTGCCTATTAGAATTTTCTCATGGTGAATTTATCAGTTAATAATCAGAGTTATTAAATGATGTTCTTTGTACCTGAGGAGGTGTTTCCATTTTCTTTTTTCCTAAACGAGAAGGGCCCTTGAGTTTTTCCCATGTCTTTTAGTTTAAGATTTTTTTGTCTCAGTTCAAATGTTAGCATAACACTTGACTTGTGCAAGCAGACTTCTAACTGTCCTCTAGTTCTGTGATCTAGTTATTAAACTCTTAAAGATTTTGCTTGAAATATTTTAATTATTGACTTTTTGTTCCTCCCACGCTTACTGTGACTTGTTTAGTTTTCGTCATTCACATCCTGTATTATGTTACATTGCTTTATTTGTCATAAAAATGGTAACTTCCTAGAATTGTGGCTGTTAGCTTGGACTTTGAAGTAAATGAGGCTTAGAAATCTTATATACACCCTCACATTAACTCCGAAATTTCAAAGGCTTACAAAGACAAAGTTTTATATCTCATTCATGCTGCATATCCATTAAGAGTCAACTGTAGCCGTGCTTCAAAACATCTTCACTCAGGGATCCCAGTTAGTGGAGCAGCCCCTATCTGGATCATTGTGGATCTCATAGCAGAGAGAAAAGAGGTCATGGTATGTACCAATTTTTAATGTTTCTGCTTGCTCACATTTCACTGGCCAAAGCAGGTCACATAGCCAGACTGTATTTAATAGGGCAGGAGTGTATAATCTTCTTTCAGAGAGAGGCATCAGGCATAGGGAACAATAAATAATACAGCTGACCACTGTGATAGATCCTAAGAGGCTTGGAGCAGTCATAAAATAAAACTACTTGTCGGGGGCCGGCCCGGTGGCACAGCAGTTAAGTGTGCACATTCCGCTTTTAGCGGCCCGGGGTTCGTCAGTTCAGATCCGGGGTGCAGACATGGCACTGCTTGGCAATCCATGCTGTGGCAGGCGTCCCACATATAAAGTGGAGGAAGATGGGCACAGATGTTAGCTCAGGGCCAGTCTTCCTCAGCAAAAAGAGGGAGATTGGCAGCAGATGATAGCTCAGGGCTAATCTCCAGCCGCCCCCCCCCCCGCCCAAAATGTGCTTGTGAATGGATGACCATCTAGGTGGGTCACCCTCCTTAGAACCTAACGGAAACCATAGCAGACTTCTTTCACGTGAGGTTCATACAAGTCCCGTCATGGGTCTGAGTATCCTCTTTTCTGTATGTTTCTTTTTTTGAAAGCTCTCTCCTTCTGGAAATAAACATCTCGGACTATGAGTTGGAGGACTGGGGGCAGTTCCTGTAAGAGGAGGTCATTTTTCCATTGAAGGGTGAAGGAATTGAAGTAGATGATCCCTAAGGTCAATTTCCAGTCTAAACATTTCTAACTCAGATTTTTTGCCTGATTATTGGGTTCATTAGTTGTCCACTGTTAGACAAGGAATAAAAATTCAAAATTTATTCTCTCTTTACAGTATTTACTGCCTGTGGTGGCTGAACATTATACTTTTGTCTTAGCCAGGCTTTGAAAGGTTCAAGCCAGGGAAGCTCTGTAGAATTTCCCCCCTTCCCTAAGTCACCAGGCGTTTATTCAGTTTATTCAGTTCTGATGATTTGGGGACCCCATGATAAGAAGGAACCAGTAGACCATTCAGGTCAGTGTAGAATTCCTACACTGCTTAACTTTAAATCTAGAGAGAAGAGATACAAGAGATAACTAAAGGAAGAATAAATCTAAAGTTTTATTCATTGGTAATAGTTTGGAGACCCAAGAATTGTTCATGTCACTGCTGGATGTTGGTGGGTTTTCTTCCAGGATTGAGTGGAAAACAGTCTGATTTAATGCTCTCCCTTCAGTTTAAGTTTTCCAGACAGACTAGGGAAATTCTTCCACTGACACTCAACAGTCTAGGTGATATGTTTAAAACATTTCAGCACCTCGAGATTGGAATTATGTAAGATGTGATTTTTTCATACCTAATTTGTAACTGGGGCTGCAATTTTTAGTGGATACAGTAGGCATCTTCTTACCCAATCATTGGACATTTCTGGTAATCTAGCACCCCGCAAGGAATTCTACTGACTTTGTCAAAAAACCATAGTGACGTGGCTGCATCACATAAATCAGTGGACATTTGACAAACAGAAGCCCTACGGCAAATTCCTAAGTGACAATTCATTGTAAAAAACCCATGGGATGTTTCACCTTCCCTTGGATACTAATTTTACACTTCCAGTTTGGAAGTTAACTCTAGGAATGAAGCCCTCACCGTTTTTATTTTTGGCTGCTTAGTGGTAGAGAGACTGAAGTGATTCCTCCAACAGTTTGTCCAATCATACTACAGACACATCATAATTTCCCTATATGTCTCCTTTTTGTCCCTTGACTGCCAACAAAGCTGTTTGTTCTTGGACTGGGTCTCTTACTAATCCCTCACGTATCTATGTCCTCCTTCCATCCTGCTAGATGCATAGGCAGATCTGGGCTTGCCTCTTTCTGAGACCTCCATCCGGAGCAGCTGAGTCATGCCTTTTGCAAGACTGTTGGCTTTATTCTCCCTGCTCAAATGCTTTTTTTTTTTTTTTTAAGTAGTAACTCATTGATTTATATACATTTTCTTATTAAAATTCACAGCAGGCTGTTTGCCAAAATTTGGAGGCCGAGGTAAGCTAATAAGCAGCTGAGCCAGGAATCCAAGCCGTGCCTGATTCCAGAGACACAGATATTAATGATGATGGCTCTCCATCTCCTGAGACATCAAATGCTTTTTGAAAGCCTTCTCACTTTCTTCTGAAGACCTATCAGTCTGTCTCACTGCTTACCCTTTTCCTGTTTTCATACTCTCTTGAGGTGTGTGGTGGAAGCTTTACACATATGCTGTGAAATACCAAAGGTTAAGAAACCACAATAAAGTGTAGGTGAGGGAAGCTTTCCCTCTTTATAGTTAACCCTTGGAGTAGGCCCTCTCAGTCACTAGGCAAAGGAACAAAGTAGTTTGTCTGGATGATTTACTTAGCCTGAATCTCTTCAGTTTCATTGTATGACGTCCTCAAGTGCAGAAAACTGAGAAGGAGGGAAGAGTCTGCTCACGGGGAAGTTAAGTTTCCACTTTTGTGTAAAACATTACTGTAGTTCTTCCCAGTGCAATTTGCAGAGTAACTCTGAATCACCAGATAGATAAATTCAAGAGAAGGAAGCAGTTTTCCAGCACACCTTTTGAAGTGTGATGCCATCTGTCCTTTTTGTTCTAGGTACTTGGAAGTTCTGGTAAAACATACACATGTTTGGCTTCTTGTCATTACTGTTCATGTCCTGCATTTGCCTTCTCAGTGCTACGGAAGAGTGACAGCCTACTGGTAAGGATGGGGAAGGCTCTTTCCACTGCAGTCAAATTAAGAGAAATTATTAGCCCTTTCTGCACAGTTTGAGTTGTACAAAATGGGAATTTTACTACGTGTTGAAACAAATCATGTTATTTTCCTTGACTTTAGTTAGTCATCTCTTTTGGGTTTACCCCTCCAAAATGCAGAGTCATTTTTAGATCTACATCAGTTTCCCAATGTTTTATTTAAAAGGTCACAGATGAAGCTTTGGGGAGGGCAATAAGGTGATCCTGAAAGTTGGCACTTGGGGAATTAGATGGCCCAATAAAATATGAACTAAATTGAATGTTGGCAACTTTTGCATATCCCCAGCTCCAGTCATGAGGTGTTTCTTCCCTGCCTGTATTACAGGCTGGCCCTTAGCCACACTTGACTTTCCATGAGGTAGGAGAGCACATTGATGCCTTTGCCAATTTTACAGTAGTCCAGAGCATCAAGTAGGAACAAGACATACTCACACAACTCCTTATTCCAAAGGAGAAAGCACTACCCACCAGAGAGCAGGTAGCTATTTTTTAAGTCTTACCAAAGAAGAAAATTACAGCATCCATTCCATTCTTCCCCTTTCTTTTACGCTAACTTTGTAAACATCTTGGGAACTGGGTGGCAAGTTGGGTGTCTCATTGTACAGGAGGCCACATTCATAGCTCATTTGCCATAAGTTTATTTCACCTGTAGAATGACAAGATTAAACCAGGGCCCTTTTAATATCTAAAGCTGTGTGTTGTGTGATATAATGTTCAAAATAGATCATCTCTCCAGAGGTGTGTACAGGCTGATATATGTGAGAGTTCTGCCACCCCACCCCCCAGGAGTATAACACAGTGGTTAAGGGAGTAGACTGTAGCTCTGAGCACAGGGCTAAAGTGGAGATAAGACCTGTCTTGATGGGGTAGCTGTCAGATTTAATGAGATAATCTATGAGAAGCACTTAGCAACACAGCAACTCAAGAATGTTGACCATTGCTATGAACATCTTTCTGAAGGCAGGAAGAAAGAAATGTAACTTAGGGCTAAAATGGGGAGCCCGTCTTGGTTTTCAATGTGGGTTATATACCCTGTACCTAAACTGGGTATATACCCTGTGGGGTTATATACCCTGTACCTAAGCTGGACCTAAACTATTTCCTAAAACAACAGGCAGTAAAACTTCCTTTGTCCCCTCTGACTTCCAGAAAGAATACGTCTGTCTCATCTTATCTGCAGTTTTTAGGCAATGAGTTAAAGGCCCATAATCTGTGTGCCCCACTCCTTTTCCTACTAAATGTGATGGTAGTGAGAGATCTTGGTTAGCCTGGCCCTGCTGATTTCTAATCTGTTTGTGTGTTTTGTATTCCAGTGCAAGCATCTCTTGGCAGTTTATCTTAGTCAGGTTATGAGGACCTGTCAGCAGCTGAGTGTCTCTGACAAGCAATTGACTGACATATTATTGACAGAGAAAAAAGAAGAAGCATAAAAGGTACAGATTGAGCATCATTATCTTTGAAAATAGAAGTCCTGGTAAGAAATGCATTTAACCTATTGTGGTTCACGTGGAAGAGAGGTGAAGTAGACCTTCCAGAGACTTCTTGTTACTGTCCCTTTTCCCTCCTGGACTGCAGAAGGGACTGTGGGTTGGAACCCAGGATGTGTGTATAGTCTGAAGCCTTTGCAAGTCTCCTCATGATAAATCTAAACCAAACCTGAGCCCCTTGGGTGAAAAACTTCCTAAATGGAATCAAGCATTTTAGACTCAAAGCCTAATATCGTGTCCACAGTTAGTCAGATTCTTAAGTACCTGAAGTACTAGTAATTTTGAGGAGGTTGGAAAGGTAGATGAAACTGAGTAAGATGAAGTTTAGATGAAGAAGCATTAGTTCCTTTTCTTAGGTCCAGAAAATTATTCTGCAGCAATAAAAGATCAGAGCAGAAATGTGGTCAAACAACAGCAAGTATAGAAAGACTTAGGGCTTCTGGTTTCAGCGACCTGCAGGTGTCTGTTGGTGTTGGTGCCTATTTCAGATATCTGTGGTCAAGGAGGCTTTGTTGCTGCAAAGTTAGTGTCTAGAACAAAGGTAGTGCTGGTTTTGCTCTGCATGCATTTCTGAGCTTTATAACAAGCCAAGTGAAGGAAAGGACTAAAAAGCATGTCCTGAGGGAAGCTAAAGATTCTACTAGGAATTACCAGTCTGAAGAAAGAAGGGCAAAAGAGATACCAAGTAGAGTCTTAGAAGGGAGAGAAATGGCAGTTGTTTGGAGCAAAGGAGCAGTGATGTATGGAAATGAGACTTTTCAGCACAGAACAAGAACTTCTTATTAGGTAAAGCTGTCCACAGCCAGAATAGGATTCTAGAAGGACAGAAGTTCTCTGTTTCTGAAGGGGTGCATAAACCTGCAGTGTCCTTGCGGGGATATTGCAGAAGGAATTGAAGCAGTGAACAAACAACAGATAGTTTATTTTTACCCCCTAGGAAACTCAAACCCTGTGCCCCTGAAACATGAGGTGCTGGTGAATGGGTGCTAAGTGACTGAGTGTCAAAAGGTCAGATAATGCAGTGTTCTGTGGTTGGCAGAGCCTTTTGTTACATTGAAGTGGCAAATAAAATCTGTCAAGACTTTTCTACTCCTTGGGAAACTTGGGCTGCGTATAAACATTTCTTTAAGCAGTCTTCAGGATAAAGAATAGAAAGTAGAGGCCAGCCCAGTGGTGTAGTGATTAAGTTCACTCGCTCTGCTTTGGTGGCCTAGGGTTCACCGGTTCAGATCCCAGGTCCAGACCTACACATCACTCATCAAGCCATGCTGTGGCAGCATCCCACATACAAAGAATAGAGGAAGATTGGCACAGATGTTAGCTCAGGGCCAATCTTCCTCAACAACAACAAAAAGAATAGAAGGTAAATGCAGCTCTGTATGACAAACCAATGCAGCACCCCCAGCTTGTTGGGGTTTTTTTTAAGTTTTATTTTTATTTCACTTAATATACATACACAGTTATATAATTTTACTTAGTAAAATTTTCACACTTTCGGTTCCAGCAACTTGACCAAACTTGAACGTGGGCGAGAAGTAAAATTCACTAGCTAGCTCTAGAAGGGCGGCACAGAATCTGGTAGAGGAGGGATCCCATTTCTCCGTTTTCTTTCTCTAGGGTAGTTTGTTGTATATGAAAAAGAATATTATCAAAATTTTTATCTGATGATATTCTACTTCAGGACTTATGAGATTCTCCTAAGTTATTTCCCTAAATAAACACAGCAGTTTCTTGATTGAAGAATTAAATACTTTTAGTTTTCCTGGTCACCTTCCTAGAAACAAGTATATATTGTTAGTATGTCCAACTGTTATTTTTCCATTGACTCTAAGTTAAAAAATATTTGTATTATAATAGTTCACAGTGTTTCATAGTAAAATAGTTTCAGTCATTGTCTACCATAAAAGAGGCAGACTTCTAAAAAAAAGCACACAAAACAGTCTTTTGCAATCCATTCAAGCTGTGAGCATCATCCACATAGTAAGAACAGCCATACAGAACCATAAATACATTTGTCAACCCTTGGAGCCTACTAATAACATGTACATATTAGCTAGATGTGTGGTAACTCCAGAAAGTGCTCAAAAGAGGCAACCCACATGTTTGTGAGGTGTCGCTGTCTTTCACAATGAGAATCATCCAGTCATGTCCTGTCCCTTCATTTATTGTGAATTTGTGCCTTCTCCTTGAAGAGGCCAGAGCCTAGGTCATAGGCCCACATTGAGAGCAGGCTGCGTCCCCGCCTGCCCATTCCCACTCTTGAGAACATCTGTCTGGCAGAGAACATACCTAGAGATGATTTTGTGAAAAGTATAGCGGAAGTCTCGGTTCCGGTAGGCATAGACAATGGGATTGACAACTGAGTTGGCATGTGACAGGAGAATGGCTGTGTTTATTGCCCACTTGGGCTTATTCTTAGCCTGAGCTGGCTGAAAAAGAGTGACACAGTTGATGGCATGTAGTGGTAGCCAGCACAGAGCAAAAATCCCAACCACCATGGCCAGGGACTTGGCTGCATGGATCTCCCGCTGGAGGATGGTCCTCGAGTGGTCCATCAGCTCAGTGCGCTGAAGCTGCCTGCAGGCCACCATGAAGATCTTCATGTAGATCACCAGCATTATGAGCAGTGGAGGCAAGACACAGCCAAAGAAATTGAAATACACCATGTAGCTCATGGGGACCACATTCTCAAAAAGACACTTCACACGGCAGCAGCTTTCATTTGTGGTTCCATCCCAGGGTTCTGTGCAGTTGTTAGTGGCACTGTCTTTACTGTTCCACCCCAGGAATGGGGTCAGTCCAATGCCAAAGGCAAGGACCCAGAGGACAGCAATGACTCCTCTCGCTCGGGTCCCAGTGACCAAACTCTTATACCTGTTCAAAAGAACATCATGTGTTATCATCAGTTTACAGTAGTCTGCAACCAAGGTCCGAGACTGCGCCTCTGCTTTTGTTCCATGGCCTTTACCCCTAACAACACTGAAGGTTCACCCTCAGAGGGCACCATGACCTTTTACCCCCAACATTAAAGACATGCACACAGATATGAACAGCCTTGCTCTAAAAGCTCAATAAGATTTTTGTTCTTATTAACTCACCTCTGTTTAGTGACAAATCATAGTTAATGAGGACAAGTGGAGAAGTCTTAAAGGGTGGTTTCTAATTACCCAGATACTGACCTTTGAGACTAGATCTATAAAGCACTGTTCCAGGTGGTTGAGATACACCAGTGAACAGAACACGCAAGATCCCTGCTTTTAAGGGATTTACATTCTAGTAGGGGAAGACAGATAATAATACACAACAAACATGAGTCAGTAAATTATATGATACGTTAGAAGGAGATATGTGCAGTGTGAAAAAAGAAAAGGCAGAGTAAGGAAGATCAGGACTGGCAGGGACTGTAGTTTGAAAGAGGTCAGTCAAGAGAGGCTTCATTGATAGGGTGACACTTGAACGAAAACCTGAGGAAGTGAGGACTGGAGCTCTATGGACTTAGGCGGCACTACATGGTGGCTCTGGGCAAGAATCCTTCAGGTCGCCACAAATATGTGAGAGGTTTGTCTCAGCCTATGGGAAGAATCATCCCTGAAGACCTCTAAACTGCTGGAGAACAAGAGTCCTGACAACATCCCTGTCTTTGCTAGCAGCAAAGTTGATAAAAATTAGGAAAAAACTTTAGCAAATATTAAACAAATTTTTTTTAGTAATTTTAAACCATTAAATCGTATTTAAAATCACTAAAAATGATAATATACATTTTAGACATTTTGCTATAAACTAGTCCATATATGGTTTATAGCAAAGCTATAAACTTTGCTCTTAATAACTTGTCCATAATATGTATTCAATGTAATGTGTTGAGTAAATGAAATAAAATCTTTCCTTAACCTCTGGGAGGAAAATTGGGAAATAATTTGATACACATTATCTTAAGACTTGTCTATGGAAAATGTCCAATTTCCTTTGCCTGCAGGATAAAGCCCATACTTCTCAGCATGCCCACAGAGCCCTCCAGGCCTCAGCCCCATATGGCTCCCTCCTCGCTCATGGTGCTCTCAACATTGGACAGAACACCTGTTCCTGTTTCAAGGATCACCTGCTTTTCCTGATCACCTCTTAGGCAGAGCTGGCCACTCCCATTCTGCCCTCATACACACACCTGTCACAGAGCTTGTTGATCTGTTACGTGTGTTTTCCCCTCAACTAGAATGTCAGCCTCTTAAAGACTGGGACCTTGTTCCTTTGTGTTGGTATCCCCAGGACGTAGCACAGTGCCTGGCACATAGTAGGTTTTACAATATAGCCATTATGAATACATTCCTCATTTGTTATCTTATTATTAAACGCTTTAAATCAAAATTCTACTTACTAGGAATACATGAAGCTGTGGCCTGGACAGACAAGAAGAACTAGTAGTTTGCTGAGAAAGTTAACTGAGATCTTGCCTTATAATTGACAATGATCCCTGATCTTTTCTGCTCCCTATGAAAGCCGCTCTCAGTAATAGGCAGTTCAGTTGTGGGGCCTTTACTACAGATGACCTGCTGGGCTCAGTTGCTCACTGAGTTTTTCTTGGCCAATAAATCTGTCAATTTCCAGGCCCTTTCTTCCTCCCTCCTCATTCAGGAATGTAAAGCCATTCCTTAAAAAAATGCTATTCCTGGCCATTGCCTCACTGGAGAATCACAGGACTTTAGATCCATGAGGCAACCTACTCATCAGGCCTGCCCTTATTCCTTTGTTTTTCACAGGAGTCAACTGTATTGAATTGAGTACAATTGAATACAGGTCAGCCCTGGGCGATAAATTATATTTGGAGTGAGGAAATTCTCTTGTAATGGTCTGGGGTGGATGGGTGAGGTGGTTTTGGCCAGTGAAATAAAAGGAAGTCTGCTAGGGTACTTCAGGAAAGATTTTACTCCTTGAGAAAAGGAGAGAGACCCATGAGGAGAGCTGTCCTCATGTCCATCCCTTTCTGCTTATGCTCTTATGGGAGGCTATGATGCCTAGAGCTGCTGCAGCTATCTTGTGACCATGAGTGATAAGCCTGAAGACAAACTGAATGGCAAAGCAGAAGGAAGGAAATAGCGCACAAGTCCTTGATAACATCTTTGAACCACTACACCAGCCCTGGAACCATCATGGCTCCATATTCTAGTTCAAGAAATAGTTAAATGTCTTGATTGCTTAAGCCACAGTTACCTATAGCCAAAAGCATCCTCATACAAACTAGAAGGGACTTTCATCTCTTTTAGTCCAACCTCTTTTATTTTACAAATGAGGAAACAAATACAAAGTCTTTGAGTAACAAAGGCAATAGAAGAACCAAAGACCAAAGCTAAGTCTAGACCCTCAGGCCTGTGTTCCTTGCGCCACATTATGCTGCTTCTGATTTTACTTGACTTTTTTTTTTTTAAGTAATATCAGACATGGAGTACTCTGTACACGGAGGCATCACAGCAGGTGGCTTCCCACTAGAGTTCAAAACAACAGCTGGAAACCACCCACAGCTGAACCTCTCAAAACTGCTAGCTCCTGCACATGTAAAAAACTACTTTCATGCTCAATTGTCTTGGATAAGGAAAAGCAACTGATTCCATCAGGGGAGCAGCTAGTGACAGCTTTTTATGTGAACCCCCATCATTGTTTCTTCCCTGTTGGTTCATTATTTCATTCAGAGTTCTTCCTTTGTACCATGCACTCTGCTAGGTACTAGAAACATAACCACAGCCCTCATGGGTTGTAAAGCTAATGGAAGAGACAGAAAATAAATAAGTAAAGACACAAATGTGTAATTACACATCAAAATGAGTTTAGCCAAACCAAAATGAATAGTATGCAGATAAAAGAAAAATAGGAAGACCTCAGGGAAGGCCTCTTAAGTAGAGCTAAAGGTTGAGGAGGAGTAAAAATCTGAAAAGTAGAAGAGCATTCCAGGCAGAGAACAGAATGTAAGGCTTTCAGACACGAAAGGATTTTACTTTCCTAAAGAAGCAAAAGGAAATGTGAACGAACCTAAAATGAGGCAGGGGCTAGCTCGCAGGCCCTGGGAAGGAATCTGGATTTTGATATTCAAAGTGCAATGTGGGGGGCTGCCCTGACGGCATACTGGTTAAGTTCGTGTGCTCTGCTTTGGTGGCCCAGGCTTCGCAGGTTCAGATCCCGGGCGCACACTGCTCATCAAACCATGCTGTGCGGGCTGCCCCTGTGGCCGAGCTGTTAAGTTCACGCACTCCAATTCGGCAGCCCAGGGTTTCACAGGTTCGGATCCTGGGCACGGACATGGCACCACTCATCAAGCCATGCTGAGGTAGCATCCCACATGCCACAACTAGAAGGACCCACAACTATGTACCCAGGGGGCTTTGGGGAGAAAAGGAAAAATTTTTTTAATCTTTTAAAAAAAAAAAGCCATGCTGTGGCAGCATGCCACATACAAAACAGAGGAAGATTAGCATAACTGTTAGCTCAGGGCCAACCTTCCTCACCAAAAAAAAAAATAAAGAAAGAAAGCTACGGGAAGATATTGAAGGCTTTTAATGACACCGATTTATGTTTTAAAAAGTAGTATGGATACTGAATTTTAGTGGAGCAAGAAGAAAAGCAGATCAGTTAGGAAACTGTTTTGGTAGTTAATTCAAGAGAAAACGCTGACTTGGATCAGGATGATAGCGAAGGTTACACAGATAGATATATATTTTGGAGGTAGAGCCAATAGGTCTTGAAGATGAATTGGATGTAAAAAAATGAAGAACCAAGGATGATTCCTAGGGTTTTTCCCTGGGAATTAATTAATATTTGAAATAGTATTAAAGGGAACAGTGGGTTGCAAGGTGATTAAGATCAAGAGAATGGTGGATGTTAGTATGCTGATAAAAATGAATGGTAGAGAGAAGATGCAGAAAAAAGGCAAGATTATTAAAGAAGCTAAGAATCCAAGGAGGTTAGAGGATGTGGAGTCCAGGGCTCGTGTGGAGGGACAGTTCTTCACTGTGACAGAAGGAAGAAGGAGAACGGGGCCAGTGCAGGGAAGACGAGGGTTGGATGGTGAGAAGATATGGGCAGCGTCCCCTTTGAGAGCTGCTGTCACCTCAGACAAGCATGAAGAAAGTCATCACCTGAGGGAGAGGAGAAGGCTAGGATGCTGGAGTTGTCTCAGAGAGGAGAAAAGGGACCTTGCTGGGAAAATGTAGTGGGATGGCCTTTGTGGTTTTGAGGGTGATGTGGCTTTTGTTGACAAGGTGCAGGCTGAACCATGGGAGTGGAGGCCGAGAAAGACTGAGGAGAAGAAAGAACTGAGACCAGGGTGTGGAACACTCAAGCTGGCAGGTGGTGCAGCTGGTGAGAAATGGCAGCAGTAGGAGAAATGGCAGCAATGAAGGGGAGGGGCAGTGTCAGGTCTTCTGCAGGAGGCAAGGGGCAACTGCTCTGGGAAGAAGAGTGGAGAGACCCAAGAGAAAGAACTCTAGCCCCAGTCCCCACCTGAGGTCCGGAGTGTGAGCAGCAATTAGGGAAGCAGTTTCGGGGGTAGGTCTCAGTCAAGGCCAGGTAGTGAAGGGAATGTTCAGAGAAGAGGTTGAGAACATAGGGATCTGGTGATGTCCCAGAGAGCACAGTGCTTGGGAAGGCAGGGTGTGATTTTGGGTCCAATTAGCCAGGGGATATATAGAGCATTATGGGGTTGAAAACTATAGTCATGTGCCATATAACATTTTGGTGAACGATGGGCCACATATACAACAGTGGTCCCATTAAGAATTAGTACCTATTCTATATCTGGTTTGTGTAAGTATACTCTATGGTGTTCACACAACGATGAAAGTGCCTAATGACAATGATTTCTCAGAACATATCCTCATTGTCAAGCAATGCATGACTGTAATTGAATTATTTTCTTAGGACCTAAAACTACTTGGCTTAAGCTGAAATGTCCAACCCACGTCTCCATTTTCATCTTTAATATGTCAACGGCACTTGACACTTTAAAATAAAGGGGAAAAAGTTCACCATCCATTTCTTTGTCTAAAACAAGTTCTCCTTCCTAATTTCCTCTTGACTGGCAGACAGTTTCCCATTCTAGCAACCTTTGAATCACATGACCAAACAAGTTTTGGAGACACAGGCCTGCAGACCCCCTTCCCCAGCTCTACAAAACACATCAGTAACACAGAGCCTCCACTGCCTAAGCACCTACTCTGAGAGGCACTAAGCTACATAGCTTACACATCTCGCTCAAACCATGCCGCATGAAGTCAGGCTGCTGTCTCCAGTTTACAGATGTGAAAACTGAGACTCAGAAAGGTTAAATTATTTGCCCGCTGCCCCTCAGTTGCAGTCAGGACACAAACCAAATCTAATCTGACTGCAGTTTTGCCAAAAGCAGTCATGTTTTCCTGCTCAGGAACCTACAGCTCTTCTCATAAATCCAAGCTCCCCACTCTGCCTGGTCACCCAGCCATGGGTCAGCTATTTCACTTTCTTCCCCAGACACATCTGCCCTTGCCAAAGCTGTTTGCCGGTTCCATGGAGCCCCCTTTCTGGGGCCAGCCATGTGGGAATCAGAGACTCGAAGAAAGAGGCCTTTACTTCCCCCTCTTGGTAGGCAGTCCTTAAAAGGAAGTAAAGAGCTTTCTTCATTCTCTTGGAGGACACAGCGAGGCCCACAGGAGAAGCGTGACCACCAAAGACAGAAGCACTTTTAGCACTGGAGCTCCAGCTTGATAATGGCACAACAGTCGGTATCCATGAGAGCCATGCCTGCACCCTTGCACAGGGTGGAAGACTGCAATGCTGTAGAAAGCAGACAACTGTCCCTGCACTGAGCAGGATCGTGGAAGGGATGACCCCTGGGGTCTCTGGCATCTCAGGAAGGCTCTGGTAACCTCCTGCCGTGTCCTCTCATCTCCCACTTCCAGCTGTGCCTCTGTCCATTCCCTGAACACCTGTCTCTCTCCCTGGCCTCAGCCTTTGCTTGTGGACTCCATGCCTTGCTCCCTGTGCACCAGTGGCTCTCAAAACATCGTGTGTGTGTGTCCCCAAAACATTCCTGAAAGGAAGGGACCATGTCCTTTCCTACATCTGCCCCATGCCAGTCACTCACTACTCTGCTGTGGAGGGCGTCGAGCACAGCAGTAAGGTCAAGGAAGCCGGACATCTGCCCCAAGTGTAGGAGAAGTAAACGAAAGGCAATGTAGAAATGAATAAAGAAAATGTAGGCAGCTTTATTACTGTAAACAAGCAGGAACAATTCCAGCCCACACAAAAGGAGTGTTCTGGGAAAGTCCACACTCTGGGAAGTGGCTTTGCCCTGTTCCTGTGCACAGAGCTGGTGTGTGATTCACCCATTCTCCATATAAGGGACTCATTAGCTAAGGAGGTTAATAGAATAAGTCACATGGAGGGAATCGACAAAAGGGAACAGTGTGGACACTGAGGTTACGTAATGAAAGAGGGAATCGCCAAGTGCTGCATAACAAGTGCTGGCCTATTTCTGGGGCAGGGTTTCCTCCTCCTCTGGCTCTGCAGCCCTTGGCTCAGTCCAGGCTGCCTTCTCAGCCTTAGAAATCAGAATTCCCAGCTTTCAAGGTGCTCTCAGTTCAGCAGATCCCCAAGGGCAGCTGCTTCCTGGGCAGTGACATTGAGCCTGGCCAAGCCAGCCAGTGGCTGGATAAAGTGAGCTCTGGCATCAGAATAATGGGAGTAATAGTGGCTGCAGAACCCCCCTCCATACTGTTGCTGGGGCTTTTAACACAGATACAATGTTTACAAAGCACTTCATAAATGCCAGTTATGAAGTAAGTGCACATGGAGTGCTGTCACTGCTTCTTAAAATTGTTTATTGCTTGTTTAGGGACATTTTTCGTTATATTCTGTCGAGCTCACAAGTTTCATTCCTGTGTAATACAAACATTTCTGCTTGGACCACCCAGACAGCAGTTCAGCAAGGCTAGAGGCTGCCACAGTGAATATTAAAAATGCACCAAGAAAGTCTAGTGGAAATCCTGGCAAAACTTTATTTAGAGCAAGGCTGATAGGTGCTAAGACAATGCAGATGAAAAAGGAGTTCTGAGCCAGGGGGCTGTCATTAAGTTGGGCACAGAGGGCAGCGTGGCCTGCCACAGCCAAAACCAGCAGGCTGGTATGCGGCTTTCTGAGGAAGGAGGCCCAGGTATGGGCACTGGTTTTTTTCTTTTTCTCCTTGTTCCTGGGGACCCAAAGGGGCTCCTGCTGCACAGCAGTCAAACTGTGGCTTTTTTCCTTTCCTGCTGAAGACTGTAATGCTACTCCCACTATTCCAGCTCCTTTTGCTTGAGCAAAGTCATAGATGAACCAAAGCAGTGTCTGTATTGTAGCAAGATCTTTCCCCTATTTATCTATCACATGTAGTTCACATTACAGAAATTTGCATGGAAGCAGACCGGGTTGTACTGAAGTACACCACTGTGCTCCCATGGTACCCCATGATCCCCACAGCACCTCTCCCACCTGCCTCCCACATAACCACATTTTCTGTCTCCTTCCACTCAACCACACACTCCTTAGTGGCAGAGGCTGTCCTGTTCACTGTTGTATCAAAAACACTGGGCCTAGCAAGCAAATGCTAAATAAAAGCCTGAATTTATAAGAAGGGAACAGAACTCTGGCTTCTTAATCACATACACACCTTTAACACTCACTTGGTAGCTCTAAACAAAACAGGGCATGGAGTACGTGACTGTGTCTTGAGTTTCAGCTTATAGTTCACAAGAGACTATTGTATAAGAGAGAAATTTTATGCTGAATAGTTGCTTCCCATTTTTCAGATTCCTCATGGAACCAAACAGGGTTTTTAAAAAGTTGTCATGGACAGAAGAAGAAACAGAAAATTGAACAATAGCATAGAGTAGATAATTAAAGTAATAGAATACATAACCAAAAACAATGAAAATTTAAGATCTAGATGACTTCACCAATGAATTCTATCAAACATTTAAGGAACAAAAACCCATTCTTACACAAAAAGAGTAGATGCTGTTTGGTTCTATTTATATGCAGTTAAGGTTTGGGAGTGGGAAGGTCTCTGATTTACCATTCGTGGTAAATGTATTGAGGGCAATCTACCTTATCTCCACAGTCTGACATGGTCATAGCTCTAGCCTGTGGGCAGTCAGGAAAGGAGAGTGCCTGCCCACCCACTGGATAACAAGCTGTGGTCACCAGAGCTTATCTTCAAGCTAAGTTCTTCTGAGGAGGCCAGGACCCTCAGCTACTCTGGCTCCTGAGGGGTTCTCATCTATTGCAGCAAGTTCAGACATGTCTGAATCCCAGCGGTGGACCTGGCTGAGGCCTGAGCTGAGCCCCCTGCCACATGTAAAGGCGGTTGGAAGAGATGCCATTTGTGCTTCACAGTCACCCAAAAACAATGGATGAGGAATGCAGCTGGCAGAAAAAAGTTGGCAGCACTCCCCACCAGCTTACGGCAAGAGGAGGCAGTCTGGAGTGGTCTGATAGTGATTCACCCCATTGAGATTGAGGGTCAGGGCCAAGACTGGGGCTCCCAGAGTTCACCTCTGAGGCTGTTTTTTAGTGAGTCTCATATGTTGGTCTCATATGTTGGCGAGGATTGGGAGACAGCCCAAGGTTGCTGGGTTCCAGACTCTGATCTCCTTCACGTGAAATAAGAGCTCCCGAGAGAAAGGACCACTGCCTGAAACTGGACCAGAGAAGAAAAAGATACGTTGTCCTCTCCTCCAAAAAGTACCCTCCCATGGCTGTGTGAAAACACATTGCCTCAGATATAACTTGATTGTCAAAGCATCAGCCTCAGGGCTGGCCTGGTGGTGTAGTGGTTAAGTTCATGTGCTCTACTTTGGCAGCCCAGGGTTTGCAGCCATGCTGCGGCAGTATCCCACATACAAAAAGTAGAGGAAGATTGGCACAGATGTTAGCTCAGTGACAATCTTCCTCAAGCAAAAAGAGCTAACAGATGTTAGCTCAAGGCTACTCTTCCTCACTAAAAAAAAAAAAAAAAAAGCGTCAGCCTCCATATACAAAAACAGCCAGTTAGAAGAAGGCATCAGGAGGCACATATTGGTATGTCCCATTACTGGTGATGTTAACTTTGATCACTTGGTTATAATGTCTGCCAGGTTTCTCCACTATATCTGTTTTTCACTTTGTAATTAGTAGGTATCTTGTGGTAGATACTTTGAGACTTTGTAAATATCTTGTTCCTCATCAAACTTTCACCAGTGAGTTTTAGCACCTATTGATGATTCTTGCCTGAACCAGTTATTAGTATGATAGTTGCCAAATGATTTGTTTAACTCAGTCATTCCTACTCATTAATTAGATGGTATGCTACTGTAAGCAAGAGTTCTTCCCCCATTATTAAAAAAAAAATCTTCTGGTCTGTTCATTGCAAGGGCCTAGAAGAAATGCTCCAGTAGCAATGAGCACACTTACCCAAATCTTGGTTTCTAAATACTGTTCTCCACTGAAAGGAAACAGGGCTCCTTGGAGAAATGGCTGATTCCAAAGCTTGAAAACACAGTGTGAGCCTGAAAAACCTCTCTGTGCTAGAAAGTAAGGAAGTGCTCAAAAAATTCACGGGAACAGTCAAACAGAAGTGAACCTGAATGGGCTCCCATTGGCCAAATTTGAGCATCAAAGATGGATAATGGGAATGGATAATAATACGTTGAATGAAAATAAAATTCTATAAATCTATACTGATATTAAAAAAAAAATTTAAGGAAGAGCAGGGGAAAGGTAAACCTCCTTTTTTTTGAGGAAGATTAGCCCTGAGCTAACATCTACTGCCAATCCTCCTCTTTTTGCTGAGGAAGACTGGCCCTGAGCTAACACCGTGCCCATCTTCCTCTATATATGGGACGCCTGCCACAGCATGGCTTGACAAGCAGTGCGTAGGTCTGCACCCGGGATCCGAACCGGCAAACCCCAGGCCACCGAAGTGGAACATGCAAACTTAACTGCTGTGCCACCGGGCCAGCCCATAAACCTCTTCTTTACTGAAGAGTGCCAACAGATAAAGGTGGAAGGAATGAGAAAAAGGAAAATTACCATTTTATGTGGTCATAACTGATTCAGGCAAGAAACATCAATGAGCAAAACATACCCTTACAGTGATGAGTCCTGGCAGACACAGCCATAGCCAAGTAGTCAGAGTTAACATACCAACAATGAGATAGATTCATATTGCATGCCTTCTTATGTGATGGACTGAAATGCACAAAATGTCATGTAGACGGTTTTCCCACCAAAAATGTTTAACCTGAATCTAATCATAAGGAAACAACCAAACCCAAATTAAAGGACATCCTATAAAACAACCTGGACTCCTCAAAAATGTTAACGTCTTGAAAGGGGGGAAAAAAAGACTGAGGAACTGTTCCAGATTAAAGGAAACTAAAGGGACAAGCCAGGTCTAGTGGTTAAGATTCAGTGCTCTCACTGCCGCAGCCTGGGTTCGTGTCCCTATCAGGGAACCACACCATCCATCTGTCTGTCATACCATGGCGCTGCGTGTTGCTGTGATGCCACCAATATTTCAAATACCAGCAGGGTCACCCATGGTGGACAGGTCTCAGCAGAGCTTCCAGACTAAGACAGACTAGGAAGAAGGACCTGGCCACCCACTTCAAAAAAACTGGCCATGAAAACCCTATGGATAGCAGCAGAGCATTGTCTGATGTAGTGCTTGCTGGTAGGTGAGAGGATGATGCAGAAAGACAGAGCAGGGGTCCACTCTGCTGTGTTCAGGGTCTCTAGGAGTCAGAGTCAACTTGATGGCACTAACAACAAAAAGGAACATGTTCAATGCATGCATGACCTTCTACAGGAACCTGAATATAAATATATATATATATATATATATATATATATATATATATATAAAGAAAATGATTTGGATAATTGGGGACATCTGGCTATAGTCTGTGCTGTATCAGTATTAAAATTCCTGAGTATAATTGTGTGTGTGTATGAGACAGAAAGAAAATGCAGCAAAATATGAACAATTTGTACATTTAAATGAAGAGTATATGGGGATACTTATATTCGTTTTGCAACTTTAGAAAATTCCTGTTATGTGAAGAATGGGCAAGCAAGAATGCAGAACGGCCAGATAGGTGACTGGTATCCTGGAATAGGGCAGAAGTAAAGACGGGACCAAAGAGAAGCAACTAGAGGGAAGGTTTAAGAAATGCAACTGACAGAAGCTGTTCTCTAATGTCTTTCAATACAGCTTTATAGTTCTTTACATTTAAAAAAAGCAGATTTGGCAGTGGTATTGAAATCAGCATTGGAAATTAAGATGTCATATACAGAAAGACGCTTTGGGAAGTTTGTGGGTGGTAGGACTGGAGCAAAACATCTATTAAGAATCCCAGAAGTGGGGCTGGCCCAGTGGCGCAGCGGTTAAGTTCACACGTTCCACTTCTTGGCAGCCTGGGGTTCGCTGGTTCAGATCCTGGGTGCGGACATGGCACCACCTGGCAAGCCATGCTATGGTGGGTGTCCCACGTATAGGGTGGAGGATGGGCATGGGTGTTGGCTCAGGGCCAGTCTTCCTTGGCAAAAAGAGGAGGACTGGCAGTAGTTAGCTCAGGGCTAATCTTCCTCAGAAAAAAAAAAAAGAATCCCAGAAGGAAAGAATAGAGAAAATGGAGACAAGGAAATTATCAAGAAAAATTTTTTTCCCTGAAGAAGATTTGCCTTGAGCTATCATCTGCTGCCAGTCTTCCTCTTTTTTTTTTTTTTTTTTTTCGTATGTGAGCCACTACCACAGCATGGCCACTGACAAATGAGTGGTGTGTAGGTCTGCACCCGGGAACCAAACCCAGGCCACCAAAGCAGAGCACCCCGAACTTAACCACTAGGCCACCAGGGCTGGCCCAGGAAAATATTCTTTTTTAAAATTTCAGAGCTGAAGACAGACTTGTCTTCAGATTGGAAAGGTTCACCTAGAAGTGCCATTCCGAATGAAGGAGAAAAGCTGAAAGTCAATATTTAAACCCACCCTTACGAAATTTCAGAACACCAAGAAAAGCAAATGATTCCAAGGCTTCCAGAGAGGAAATACAAGTTACAAATAAAATTCACATAGACGTCAGACTTCTTGAGCAACACTGAGTGTTAGGGCAGTGCGTTCAAACTTCTGAACGGTATCCAGTCAAACTACTCGTGTGAGAAGTAACATTTTTGGCAAAGAACTCAGAAAGTTTATCTCCCATGTCCTGAAAAAGTTACCTAAAGATGTATATACAAACAAACAGATATAGAATCCTAGAGAGAGGAAAGAAAACATCGAATGCAAGAAATGGTTGAACAATTCCAAGAGTACGATGAAGGAAGTCACAACACGACAGTCATGCCGCACATTCAGAAGGCGTGTAGGACGTTCAGCAATGAGGATGATGAAGAAGCTGGATCATCATCAGGATGAGGGAAGCCACAGTCTTCCTTTAACTTTCTTTTAATTTTGAGATGGGAAATTCATGATCCAAACATGAAGCAGACTAAAATGTGGCATAATTTTGGGCCACAGGATAGCAACTAAGAATAGAATCCACCTGACCTGGTCATAAGAACTGTCTCCTTGAGAAGCATGGGTTTCATGGCAGGAGTGCATT